GTGGAGAAGAAAGTCAAGGGCCACAATTGCTAAAAACAATTATGCAAAGACCAAATCTTGGTGGATTGCTTGGTCCCCATTTTACTCCTGTTGCTGGTGGTGCATCAACATTTTTACAAATGTATCAAACAGTTGTTGAATTGTCTACTGGGATGAATGTTGATTTATGTTTTGTATTACTTTCTAAGGTATATAAGATCGATAAAAAATATGATTATATTTATATACATTATTGTATATAATTCTTGTATTTTTGCTTTTGCTATAGTTTGACGTTGCGAGTTGGCTAAATTACAGAAGACCAAGATTAAGCGAACGATCAACCTTTATAGATTTAATTTCTAGAGCTCTATCTAACATTGGACTTAATCCGGAAGAAGAAAAACTTATATTACATGAGGTAATTCTCTCTAGATATAAAAAAAATATTATGAAATTACATAGAATATATTTCATGCTACAACATAAGTATATTTATTTTTTACGTTAGTTATTTCGCAATCATTTGCGACTTATTCTTCTACATGAATTTCCTGAACACTATGGTGAAGTTCTTAGTACCATATTAAAGGGCAGTGAAAGTCAAACTTTATCCTTAGATGTTTGGCGTGATTTATTAGGTACTCTAAGTGGAAAATCGAAAAGTGCAGTTGTAATACATTTGTCAAAAATTAGGGATGAAATACGTCATTATGCAACAGAGCAGAGACTTCTTTCTCGACAGGAGGTAAATAATTTTTTTTTTTTATATCTATACAAATTATTAAAAAAGAAGAATTGATGCTTTTTTTCATTTTAGATGCATGACACTGCAGTCTTACTTAGTAGACATTTTATGAAAGAACGTTTGCAATATGGTCTTTATGGATTATATCCAAAATATAGAGTCTATAATGATCCATTAACAGTATTTTTGGGTATGGTAGGACATGCTCTTGTTGTATTAACACTTCAATCTGATAGAGGTTCTTTGGCAGATCAATGTAAGAATTGAATAAAAATTGCAAGTTTTATTTATTTTAAAATTAAATTGAATTAATTATTTTCTTTCCAGTATGTGAAAAAATATGGCCTGCTTTAAGTGAAATGTATGCACCTTGGATTACGCCTTATTGGACTAGAAACTTAAGAGAACCAACTGCAGCATGGATCCAACAACTTACAGATGATAGATCGGTTCTACTGCCATGGATTATTACAGATGGACCATATGCAAATAGAATTGTATCAATGTTTGTGGAATGTATTAGATTTATTATTGACACAATGCCAGCATCTAATAAGATACTATCTTTTGTCTGGCATTTCTATGTTACTAATTTTGCTCATCCTTCAATCAAAGATCACATATTGAATGTGATACATGGTAACTTTTTATCGCTCCCATGGGATCGATTCTGTCCTAGTATTGGTGATGTTGAACTCATGATTAAAGTAGTCGATCAGTATTTACCAGATAGTCATCTATTTCTTGGTAGTGTATTTACATGTATCAATTGGTCATCATGGATAAATGAGTCATTAACAACTTTCCCTTTGGCAATCGTTGCTAGAATGCACATGTGTTTATTAAATTTAATTGTAAAATTATCAAATGAACCAAATGTAAGACAGGTAATTATCTATCAAATGAATTTTATAAATATAAACATACAGAATATAAAAGAATTTTATATGTAATATCATTTCTGATAAATTTCATATTTATTGTAGAATGAAAGAGCAATACAGCTCATTACACAAGCAGTAACATTTTCATGGCATTTAGTTGATGCAGCTGCTTATGATCAAGTAATTAATTGGCATGTAATGAGTTGCGATCCTAGAGTTATTCTTTCTCTAGACTGTGAGCAAATTCATCCTATAGATATAGCTTTAAATAAGTAAGTATTATATTTTAATATAAATATGTTAAAGTTTAAGGAAATAATTTATATTGATAATATTTTATTTATTTTCTAATCAAATTATATGACAGTTTATTAAAGGTAGTTGCAGCTTATGATCCCAGTATAGCATATTATCACCCAACTACATTAAAAAAAAGACAGATATACGTACGCTCTTCAGTGAAATTATTAATCAATTGCACAACTAGATATAAATCACTTTTATCTACAAATTCTAAAGCTTTTACAAGTACGTTATCTCGTATGTTAGATGAAATGGAAGCTGTTATTGATAGTAAGTTTAAATAACAATGTAATTTTCTTTTTTCTTACACATTTATAATTTATCTTACAAAGGAATATTTAAACATAAACGTCTATTCATTAGCTGTTTCAGAAGCACAACAAATTCCAGAAGCAGGTTTATTAGTAACTGAATTTCTTCATTCTATAAACCAAAGTGGACCATTAGTTGATTATCTTCGAACTAGTTGGACAACTTGGTTATTGCAAAGATCTGCCAGTAGTCCTGTACTTATGGGTGTACTTAAGGTTATAGGTATAGTGATAGCCAGTTCGTCTACATTAGGAGAACTTATGGAAGCTGCTTTGGAAGCTTATTTTAAATACACTGGTAAGTAAATAATAATTAAAATAAATATTTCATGAATATATATGTTTTAACATAAAGAAAAACGAATGTTATATTTTTCAGTGATTTCTGAAGATGATAGGCCAACATGGGCTGCAGTTTTAACAATTTTACAACCTGTGGTACCGCGACAACCTCCTTTGGAATCAATATTAGTTTCAGAAGGAAGACTTTTAGCTCTCTATTCTGTGTTGTTAAAAAAGCTTCCTTCATGTAGAGATATTAGAGAAGAAGGTATGCTTCTTATCAATTTAGTGGACTGGATTACTGCTATCAAGACTACGTAAGTTAAAAATTTAAATTATATATATATATATTTTTTTTTTAATTTAAATTATATATATATATATATATATATATATATATATATATATAAAATTCAATATGATTATTTTTCAGGGATATAATGGAAGAAAAATTACCATTATTATGGGCAAAAGCATGTGAATTAGCATACAGGCAATGTCAATATAGTGAAAATACTGTAATAGCTGCTAGAGCTCTAAAAGGGCTAGCACGTGCATTGCTTGCAATGGCTGATGATGCTGGACAAGGATGGGGTATTTTAGGAGCTATTGGGCTCAGAAAAGGTTCTCAGCTTTCTATTAGGTACATTCATTTCATAAATTTTATTAATAATTTATATTTCGTTGAATGGAGATTAATATTTACAGACGTTTTTTATAAAAAAAATATTTAATTCGTTAATATATTAATTTACAATTTTTGTTGTACAGGTGTAAGTTTTTAAGTCGTGCGATTGGCGTATATTGTTTAGCACAACTTCCAGAATCGAAATCTGAACATCAAATAGTAAGATTTACTTCTCATTCCCCTGGCGTGGCACCATCAAGATCACCTGATCTAGATACTGCAGAAATTCGACCTAGTGTAGAAGCCATAAAAGCTATGCAAAGTCTAGAAGGTCTTTTAGTTAACAAGCAATATATAGAACTTAAAAATGACGTAGAACGATCGATCAGATTAATTAGAGATTCTGCTAATTCACTACATAATGCTGTAGTTGTAATAGGTGCATTGACAGGAGAGTTGTATCATCAAAGGTATCTTCATGTTTTAACAGAATAATACAATATATTTGTTCTTGCACAATTTACTAATTCTTGCTTAAAATTCTAAATGTTTTTTCTTATATTGATATTTTGCACATACATACATGACATAATGAGGCTTGAATAATCTAGTCAAGTATTTTACCAATTGAACATATCTTGTGTTACTATTAGTAATTAATTAAAAATATTAATTTAAAATATTAATTTAAAATATTAATTTAAAATATTTGTTATATTTAAAAATTTACAACAAATTTTGAACAATATTGTTGTTATTGTGCAGGGCTGCATCTATTGTATAAGATTTGTTAATATATCAACGTTTATGATTAACATACATTATAATGTATGATCTTGAAATATTTGTTATTTCAATATTCATTTCTATTAGATCATCATGACTAATATAGTAATGCATATTTAATAAGTGATTAAATTTGTTTATGATATATCATGATTGATAAGATATTTACTTTTAAATGCAAATTTCTTGTAAATTTCATAAAAAATGTAATTTATTAAATATTGTAAATATATTGTGTTTTTAAGATAAAAAGAAATTTAAATACAATTTTTTATTTATACTTGATCAATTAGGCATTATATGAGAACAATTTTTGATGTATTTTTTTGTAAATTATATACAATTTTTTATATTTCGAAGTAACTCTGACGCTTCATTAGTTGGATATTGAACTAAAGAACATTGAAACATTTCTTGAAATACATTTTGAAATGTAGGTAATACATCTTCGATTGTTATATTTATATTAAGTTCTTTACTAATGCTAGTAACTCCTTTACCTTCGATGCCACACGGTACAATATGATCAAACCATGTTAAATCAGTATTACAATTCAAAGCTAAACCATGTGTAGTAATGTAGCGACTACCATGAATACCAATCGCACAAATTTTCTTATCATTAACCCAAACTCCTGTATCTGGAGAAGTTGTTCCTAATATATCAAATTCAGCACACAGGCGTATAATCATTTGTTCTATCTGACAAACATACCACTTAATGCTAGGTTTAAATTGTTTTAAATTTAAAATAGGATATGCTACTAATTGTCCTGGTCCATGAAACGTTATAAGACCACCTCTATCTGTTTTAAAAAATTCTGCACCAAGATTTCTTAACTTCTTTTCATCTTCTTCTGTATAGTTTTTATTCCGAATTCCTATAGTGTATACTGGATCATGTTCAACAAGTAATAATGTATTACACGTTTCATTATTTAGTTGCTTAAAATGTAAATCGGAAAGTATTTTTTGAAGTTTTACACTAGGACCATATCTCAATTTTCCTATTCGTAATACTTTAACAATATTAGTTTGCATTATGTGATTCTATTCAATTGGACTTAATTTATATTCTAAATTTTATCCATACATATCCTTCAATAAGGTTTTATTTTTTTCATTGCTTAACTTGCCAACATTTCTTTTTCATAAAACTTCTCTTGAATTGTTAAATAAGTAAGTAATGATACCTGTAAATAGTAATGAGTTACATCTTTAAAGGTTGCACAAATAAAAATTTTTATATATAAGAAAAAGTATAAAAATTGAAATAATAAAAATAATAGTTTTATACACACATAAGCATCTGTTGCTGCATATATTTTTTGTGCTTTGCTCAAAGGTTGAATATGCCATTTACTTCTTCTTACTTCAGGATTTTTACAAATTTTCTTTTTCAGCTAAAAAAATTTATTATCCATAAATAATAATAATAATAATAATAATAATAAAAATAATAATAATAATAATAATAGTAATAATAATAATAATAAATATATATGCTCTTGTAAAACTAACCAAATAAGCAGTTAATTTCTCTAAACTCCAACGACAAGAACGATTTAGAACCCTATTTGCATATGTACCACAATCAATACAATTTTCCTCAACAACTTTTCCTGCTGGGAAATGTGTAAAATCTCTACCAAGTTTCCAAACATCGCTGTAACAAATTTATATCATATATTAAAAGATATTTAATATAATTAATAATTATCTGAGAGATCTTAACTTACTTCTTAACATTAACACCTACAAGCTTTACTTTTGGATGGCTCAAGAGTATAACAAAAGCTGCTGGTAATTTATCTAAATAATATATATGCAAGAGATGACAAACAGATTTATTAAGACAAATTTGTGCTAATGCAGTTTTTCCACTTCCTGTTTGAAAACTAAATGGCCATTCTAAATCAAAACCTATTGGTACAATATCATCTTTATGGTTTTCAACCTGCTGTCTAACAGAATGTTTAGTTCTTTAATTTATAACACAAATATAATCAATAATTATTAAAAGAAAATATATAAAAGCTTAGCTCTTACATAATATCGTCACAAATCTTGGCACAATCATAAAAATTATTAGCATAATTAATTTTTCCTTTAAACACAATTGATGATAAAGACTGAATATCAGGTTCTTTTTCTATAGTCAATTCTTTTTCTATATTTTCCTAACAAAATACGTTTAAAATAATATTTTAAGAACATTATTTATAAATTATTAAAATACAAACAATCATATACCTCGTGACTAGCGGGAAGAAATCTTGGTGATCTTCTTAAAATCTTTTCTTCAGTCAAAACTTCATTCTATAAAAAAATACAATATGTTATGTGATATTCTATTTTTCATCTAGCTGTAAGATATATAGTAGCAAAACAATATATTTTCGTACTGTACAACTAGTATTCATATTGTAGAAAGTATAAATACAATTTCATTAAAATTAAATTTACTTTTAATATAATTAAGATTAATATAGTTAAGCAAAAAAAAATAATATCTTATTAATATAAAATATTTTTATCTCCAATATATAACCACCAAAAATTTATAATAATATTAGTTTACATTGCTTCATACATTGAATAAAAGTATAAATTATGTTTCTATTTAATAATTTTAATTGGTTGATTAAAGACAAAGTTGATTTCCAATTGAGATTTCTATTGGACCAAGATTATAGTAATGAACCAATAGAATTCATACGTGTATAAATCATATAAGTGTTGTGTTAAGTGCTTTCAAGCAGAGAATAGCGTACTACAAATTGTTTACATGTAGTAGAAACATTAAATAAATATAATAACAAAAGTAAGAAACAAAACTAATAATATTTGTAATATAATTTAATTATATACAGCTATTAGATCTTTTTAATGATTTTATCAGTTACCTCATACTGTTATCTTATTTTGCATTTCATTAATTTTGTTCTTTCTTAACCTAAAATTAAATATGATATATTTTTATTATCCTTTCTTCATATTTGTTTTCCAAATATATTGTTAGCAAATGGAATTAATTTATATTTTATTTATTTGACTATTGTAGTAATATGTTAAAAGGATTAAAATCGAAAAATAATTATATTGTATCTTTATATTCATTATTATACATAAACTTTTGTAAAGTAAAATTAATCTAAAGTAAATAATATTTTTCGTTTTTATTATACTTATTAATAACCTAACTTTTATAAATAATAAAGTTAGAATATATTATTATTTAGATGGAATCTGATTATGATGAAGACCGTAGTGGTTGGGGCGATGAAATGGGGCGAAACACTGATGAATGTGGAGGAGAAGATACATTTGATAATCCACAAGAAGTTTTAAATGAATGTTTAGATAAATTTAAAACAGCTGATTACATAATGGAACCTGGGATTTTTACACAATTAAAAAGGTACTTGTAATGATCTGTAATAATAATATTAATTTTGAATGAATCTAAATTAAGTAGAAAATTCTCATATTATCATTTTATAGGTATTTTCAAGCAGGTGGCAATCCAGAACAAGTTATAGAATTATTATCCAAAAATTATACTGCTTGTGCACAAATGGCAAATCTCCTTGCTGAATGGCTTATTCTTGCAGGAGTAAAAGTTACAGATGTACAGGCAATGGTAGAAAATAATTTAAAAGACATGATCTTGAAAACATTTGATCCAAAAAAAGCTGATAAAATTTTCACTGAAGAGGGAGAAGTAAGTTAATTTAATTTTATGTTTAAAAAAAAAATAGAAAAAATGTAAATTACTATTTTCTTTGGGCATAGACACCTGCTTGGTTAACTGAGATGATTCAACATCCCACTTGGAGATCGCTTATTTACAGACTTGCTGAGGAATATCCTGATTGTTTAATGCTAAATTTTACCATAAAGGTAAACGAAAATTATAAGATACCAATTTGTAATTGTATTATTCAAACATTATACACTTATATTTTCATGTATATTTTGTTATATAGCTCATATCTGATGCTGGTTTTCAAGGAGAAATTACAAGTATCTCTACAGCTGCACAGCAAATAGAAGTATTTTCTCGTGTTTTAAAAACAGCAATTGCTGGGTTTTTACAAAACACAGAGAACTGGCAGTCTAGTATTCAGGAATGTGCTGTTAGTAAATGCAAATATCATATTTTAACTTATAAAATTTATTAAAGACAACATATAAAACATTTTCTATTTTTACAGAAAATGGTATGCCATGGTCAACATACTTACGTTTACAGTCAAGTATTATTACAAATTCTTGCGCAAGAATCCAGAGGTGGATTTATGATGAAAAGACTTTCTCAAGAAATCACAAAATGTGCCCAACAGAAGTAAAAATATTATAATTTTGAATTAATTTTAATTCAAGTTTTTGTAACATATAAATAATAATTAATTAATATTTCTAGCCGGCATGATGTTACTCCTATCACAATGGCTCTCAATGGAGCAGCAAGTAGCCCTGCAGCATGTCAAGCATTGGCATCTATGTTATCACGAAATACTTTGAATCCTGCAGATATTACTGTATTATTTCGTAATTATTCTGCAGCAGAGCCTCCATCAATTGAATTACTTCGTAATCCTCAATTTTTGGGTAATTTTATATATTAAATCTTTTACATAGTTTTTATGAAATAAGATATATATTCTTATTTTATATCTTATAGAATTATTAGTGGATGCACTATTTAAACCTGGAGTAAAAGTAAATCCTGAACATAAATCAAAATACATATATTTATTAGCTTATGCTGCAAGCGTATGTGAAATTTCAGCTAAAAAGGGTAATACCCGTAAAGTCAATAAAGATGAACTAAAGACCACTATTCAAGCAATTGAAAAAGTACATAATATATGTAACATTAATAAAGGTTCTACTGAACTTATAGCAGAACTACAAACTCTTTATCAATGCATACGGTATATTATATATTGAAAATTTTACGCATATTAGCAGGCAAGAATATCAGCAGATATTAATTATATCCATATTATTTTATAGCTTTCCTGTTGTAAGTGTTGGAGTGATTAGATGGGTCGAATGTACTGTTACAGAACCATCATATTTTAAACTATGTACCGAACACTGTCCTGTTCATCTTGCCTTGCTTGATGAAGTTGTTGTTTGTCATTCTTTATTACATCCAAAAGTATTGCAACTTCTTGTACAATTATTTGAAAGCAAGCAAGATGAACTTGAAATACTGGTACAGGTAAGAATTTTTAAATAATATATTTCAAAATAAATAATGTCTTTTATATCTACTACAAATATTTCTTTTAGTTGGAAATGAAAAAAATGTTAATAGACAGGATGGTTAATTTACTGAGCCGTGATTGTGTAGTTCCAGTAGTGTGTTATATAAAGCAATGTTGGCAGCGTGGTGACACAGATGTTTCCTTGATCCGATATTTTGTTACCGAAGTATTTATTTTCTATTAATTATATACTTCAGAACAAGATTACAAATTTTCTTTGTTATGTTATTATTCTAGGTATTGGAAGCAATTGCACCTCCTTATACAGCTGAGTTCGTGCAACTATTTTTGCCAATGGTAGAGGACGAAGAAATTACAGGTACTATGCGTGGAGATAATGACAATGATCTTGTTTCTGAATTCATAGGTAAAATTCTTATTTTTAACATAAAAAAAGAAAATAAAAAATTTACTGTATAATATATCTTTATTTTCTTTTCAGTACACTGCAAAGCACATTGCCCTGTTGTAAGATGACGCTTAAAAAATTAACAGCATAAATTAAGATATAGATAGCCATGACAAAGTGGAAGATGATTTTATTTCATACATGAACTAGGATCATCATACATAAATTATTTCTATAAATGTAAATATTGGATGAATTTTCCTACCCAGCTGTGATACAGAGATTTACTGTTTTTCTGTAACAAAAATTTATTTGTTATTGATATAAAATCCTCAAAAATTGTTAGTAAATAAGAAACTTCAAAAAGGTTACATTGAAGTATGACACATTTGATTGTTATGCACAGCACATTCATATAAAAAAATATATATATATTATATATAATAAAGAAATACTATCATATATACAATGTTAAAATTACACACAATCATACTGCATTATTTGTTATTTTCAAACTTCAAATGCTTTTATAAATTCAAATCATCAACTCAAAAACTCATAGACTTACTGATCTTCAAATTTAATATTTCTCAGCTGTAACAAAGTTGTTTTGTATCGAATAATAAATTATTATAAAATTCATAGAAAATAGAGATTCAAATATAAAATAATTAAATCAATAATCATATTTATTATTGAAAAATAAACTAGATCTGATTGAAATTATATATGATTTAAAAAATATACATACTGATTGGTTTTCCATCCTTCCATTGAGTAAATTTTACACTAGATTCATCACGTTTTTGAGCCTCTGTTCTTACATCGCTTTTCAGAGCTTGCCTAACAAGTCTGGCAGCAATTTGAGAATAATTTATATAACTGAAAAAATTAATAATTTATTTTCAATATATAAGTATGATTTCTGCTCAATAGGTTATATAATATTACATCAAGAATTTTACAACATATAATTGCAGTATATGCAATTTTTATAACATATTTGTAGTATAAAATTTTACAGAAAAATACAAGAAAAATCTTACTTCAATCCTGCTTGTCTCCACGCCGACATTTCTGCAATTTTATTATTGAACCAATAAAATGGACTAAGAACCAACTTATGTCTAGAGCAAAGACATAAAGTGAATCTCAATATGAAGCATTGCAATCGAAAGAGAATTTCATACATGCGTAATACCATGAAACTGAAAAGAAGCGCAAAATTTAAATTTTACTTTATTAAACTATTTTTATTTTTAATAATTTAATAAAAATTACAAATAATAATAGAGAAAAATAATTTAAAAAGTTGAATTATTTAATTTAAAAATTAAGAAAGTATGCTATTTGAGATACATAATTTATTTTATATTATTATAATTCCAACATATGATTTATTTATTAATTAAAAATATTATCGGATTATTGCAATCTGTACTGAAAGAAATCAACATTTGTTGTATAATAATAATATAGCGAAACATATTTCGGGTAATAGAAAGCCTTTCTATATAATATATAATCAATGACGCCACGTAAATGAATACTCGCTGGTGATTGTTGGTGATCTATTTTGTCGAAGGTGACGTCTGTTTCGCGTGTTACAATTTGTGTGGTATAAGATATTGCGTATTATTTAAATTATTCTAAATTATATGCAAGCTATTTTCATATTAATTGTAACATGTTAAAACAACGAAATGTTATTTTTCTCCTTGTTTGCGTTTTATTTAAATATGGAACTGGATTATACTTTCATATCGGTGAAACCGAACGAAAATGTTTCATTGAAGAAATTCCTGATGAAACGAAAGTATTAGGTAAACTATTATTGTAATATATTTATTTATATTTCTGAATAATTGATATCTTATCAATTAACAGTTCATTATAAGGTGGAATTATATGATCCAAGAAGCGATGGATTTATGCAAAGTAGTCCTGGAATTGGTATGCATGTTGAAATCAGAGATCCCGATGATAAACCTATTCTTTCAAGAGTATACAGTTCTGAAGGAAGAATTGCCTTTACCTCGCATACACCTGGAGAACATGTTATCTGTTTGTATTCAAACAGTACTGCATGGTTCGGTGGCTCACAACTGGTAAATTGTATTAAATGTGTATTGATATTTATATAACTTATGTATCATAATTAATATTATTTTACAGAGAGTACACTTAGATATTCAAGTAGGAGAGCAAGCTATTGATTATGCTAACGTAGCACAGAAAGAAAAATTATCCGAATTACAATTAAGAATTCGCCAACTTATAGATCAGGTTGAACAAATAACCAAAGAGCAAAATTATCAACGAGTAAGAAAGTTATGAAACAAAATATAATTAATGTTAATAATTAAATATTACTTCTTAAATTCTTCTTTTTAATAATTTTTTTAGTATCGAGAAGAACGTTTCAGACAAACATCAGAAAGTACTCATCGTCGTGTATTGTGGTGGTCTATTTTCCAAACAATTATTTTATTAATTATGGGCGCATGGCAAATAAGACATCTTAAATACTTTTTTGAAGCAAAAAAATTAGTCTAATAATAATGTTTGAAAATAGTTATTGTCTGATACACATCATTTTTAACAATATCAGTATGTCATTGTAATATATTGTATCACATAATATACTTTCATTGCATATTTTTCTCAAATCATCTTTAAGTACTTGTATTAATTAAAAATTCTTATAAAAAATTAACATTTGTTGTACAACTATTTTAAATAATTAGATTAATTTTTTGCAAGGTCCATATGTTTTTAATAATGTAAATATAGAATTAGAAGTACTTATCTATTACCAATATGATTTTATTTTACATTATAGAAATGTTCAATTTTAATAACCTTAGAATAGTTACATCTGCAAATAAACATATAAATACGTATTTCTGAATAAATGAATTCAAAATGTATTACTATGTTGAAGAAATATTGTATCAATGAAAAAAAAACTATTAGGACATATTTATATACTGTAATTTTGCAATAAAGATACTTCGCATCAATGAAAAGATTATTGATTTAAGTAAATAATTCAAGAAAATTTATATATTATTGTCATTGATTAACTAAATTTGTATAATTATAACATGTACGATTAAATTTGATTAATCTAAACACAAATCATGATATATTAAATTTGCTTTATTATATATATTTAATAAAACCTCTTTTGTTATCAATTAATAATTTGAGAGTTCATCATTCTCTTAGAATACAAAAATTACGAAGTAATATATCGTCACAATTATTTGACGGAAGTTACATCTCCGCCATCTTACTGGACCTCATTTTTTTTTTCATTGTCTGCTGTTACTAGCGCTTTCTTTCTAAAATTTTTCTTGAATTTGATTTATGTTTTAACAGTTGAAAATAAAGCTAATATTTGTTCATGCATGATCTAATTGCATGATATATATTTTACATCGTTTTATATATATGAAAAAGTAACATAATCTAAGAAAAATTAATGTTTGATTATTAATATAAAAGTTAAATATAGAAATTTTTAAATTTGGCGCGAATAAAATTGGCGTATCAAGATGACGGTTATATTTCCACTTCCGTCATATGCTACGGTGACAAATCTGTAACAAGCATATAGAGATCAGTGTTAAGGTTCCATAAAGCTTGGACACCCTGATTTTTACCTAGTAGAGTCTTGTCGAAGTGTCGGAGTGTTCGTATTGACGACAATCGTTATTTATTCGTATTTAAAACTTATATAAAGCTAGCATGACTATTGCGAGATACATATATATTTAAACTATAAATTTCGTAGAGAGAAGTTTTTCAAACTATAAACTGCCAGTTCGTAAGTGCACAATATAACATGCTAACCTCCGTTAAAGTGTAACATTAAACCAAAATCAAAAAAATGTTTATCTATCTTTCTAATTTTACAAATATACGACTGAGAAAGGCGTAATAAACTTGATGCTATAACAATTTGTGTTATTGATAAAAGATTAAAAAAGTTCGTATATACTTATGGTTTTTAATATATGAAGAGTTTCTTTGGTATTCAAGAGTATTACTGTCTTGAAACTATTTTATTGAGTCGAATTTCGCTTGGGAAAAGGTGTGATTATTGTTTGTTCATGCTCATGTATATCAATATCAATGAAATAATTTTTTCATTATTAAAAATATTTCTTTTCCAGATAGATTATATATTAGTATATAATCAGTCAAAGATTAAATATTGTTGCTAGATGGTAAAATTACAAAAGAAAATAGCTTTGTATCTAGAAACGAATTTAAGTGTTGCATTTAAGCGGTGGTACAATATCCACCACGGCTTTTACAGAGATGGTTGGATTGGCGGGCGGGGGAGGTCACCTTTATCCCTCGCCCCCAATGCAACCTAATCCAGAGCGTAAGTAGTAAAATTTGTATTTATTTTTTTTATCTTTTCTTTACAAACTTTTATTTATGACTATTATTTATTTATATATATTAATATAAATATTTGTGTATATGTATATTCTTTTTTTGTAGTTAGAGAAATGACTGGAATTACACCTAGCGCTCCAACAAGCGCAGATGCATGCTTAAGTATTGTACATTCTTTAATGTGTCATCGTCAAGGTGGTGAAAGTGAAGGATTCAGTAAACGTGCTATAGAATCATTGGTGAAAAAACTTAAAGTAATTATACTTTTAAATGAAATATTACAATTGTGTATATAATATTTATTTTTTTTTTGATAATAATTTTAATAATGTATGTCATATTTATAGGAAAAGAGAGATGAGTTAGATAGCTTAATAACAGCAATTACTACAAATGGAGCACATCCCAGCAAATGTGTTACCATACAAAGAACACTTGATGGCAGGTTGCAAGTTGCTGGACGTAAAGGTTTCCCACATGTCATTTATGCACGGATCTGGAGATGGCCAGATTTACATAAAAATGAATTAAAACATGTCAAATATTGTCAATTTGCTTTTGACTTAAAATGTGATTCTGTATGCGTGAATCCTTATCACTATGAAAGAGTTGTTTCACCTGGCATAGGTACGTTATTTCTATTTATTGTGTCCATCTATACTTAATCTTTTTAAAGTTGCATTCACACACCGTAATTATAATAGTTGTTTATATTTTTTACGTTATTTGCTTGAAAAGCTTTTGTGAACTCAGTTGTAGCACCATAAGTGTAAATGATTTATTATTGTGGCCTTGGTGTATGATGGAATGGGTTGGTTTCCCCCGCACAGACCCGTTCTTTACAGACCTGTCTGGACTGACACTGCAATCGGGAGTAGGTGTAGGACCAGGCAGCAGATTGGTGAAAGATGAATATACTGTTGGGGGTGGAGGAGCAGCAGCAGCTGGAGCAATAGGAGCAGCTATGGATGTTGACGGTGAAATGAATCAAACAATACAACATCATCCACCCACGCAACCTCCTACAGCAAATAATACACCGCAACCACAACAAGGTTTTATACCAGGTTTAGCTCCACCTAATCCAAGTAAGTAAAACATTTTTGCACATAGCTGTTAATTTTCTTGTATCTTTGTGCCAGTGCCATCTAAATAAATATAGTTGATTTTTCTCATATATCAATATATATTATATCTATTATATAAACATTTCATGGATTTGATTAGTACTGGCTTGTAAATGGTATGTATATAAGAATATAGCAATATGAATGAAAAGATATATAAAAATGAAATGAAGTGCTCCATGAGATGCAACTATAATATTTTGAATAATAAGATTCACTTATATATGTATATAAACAATCAAAATACTTTTTATTATATTAATATTGGTGTCATTTATAAATATTTATTTATACATTTAGTATGTTTGTATTTACGTGGAAAAAAAATGTTTTTAATGAGTATCATTAATGTGTTAAATATGGGGCATGTTTCAATAAATATAAAACTACTATCTTTCATAGCACAAAATATTTACTGCAAGTTTTGCTATTGCAATAATAAATATGCTATTACTCTTTGTTTTTTTTCCTTTTTAAGTATATAATTATTGCTTTAAGGTATATTATATTATGTTGCAATTTTACATTTCATTTTGGCTTTATTATTTTCTTTTTCTTTTGTTGTTGTTGCACAGCTAATGGTGAGGGTATATTTGGCAGTAGTGGGGGAGGGAATAGTGGTAACCCCCACACTAAATTGGACGACAGTAATTGCCCTAGGCAA